GAACGTCTTGTTATCTAGTGATTCATGCAGTTAGGCAGTTTTGTTCTTTCTGCTGGGTTTTGTCAGGTGTTACATGGAGGTGATAATACAAAACACACAAGATAGTGATCTTCATTGGGGACCCTGTTGTGGAATGGAAATGGAATCATTCAGAAGGTTAACCTATTATTTTTGAAATTAGTTCCTTGAGAGTAGGAAAATTTTTTGCGGGGGATAATTTTTGCCTAGATGACTAGCAAGCTTTTTTTTTTTTTTCCCTCTGGATGTTGTGTTTAAGAACATTATTTGAAAACTGGGGAAAACAGGATGACTTGTAAGCAATAAATATCAATTCTGCTACAGTTTTTTGATAGAAAATGCAGTTTTTCATCTGAACAATTTCATGACAATTTTTTTTGGACTTGTATAATTATGAACTATTTTAGATTTTCTTTTTCCTTGGAAAACAGTAAGGACATCTACATTATATCCTTTTTGGTAAAACATTACTATCCTTTTTTTCCCAATGATCTGTATTTCTGAAGAAACAGTTATTCCATCAGTATTACATTGATAATTGATTTTTTCCTATTTGTTATGCTAAAAGAACTTGGTCATATAAAGGTTTTTTTAATAGAGTCAATTGATGAAAAAACCTAATGGATTTCAGGTACATTGAAAGTAATTATTTCATATCAATATTAATAGGAAATTTGAATTATCCCAGATGTCACTCCAAAGATGAAGTATTTAAAGAATATGTAATTGCTCTGGCTTATCTGGCTTGGATTGACATGTCTGAAATATTCCTCTGTTGATCACCCCAAAAAATCTAGTGAGCTTTATCTAAGTGGTTACGGTGACAGTAAAAACTGGAAGTGCTCAGCTATACAGCTATCAGCTACTGTACACAGCCTATAAAACTTCATGGGCTACAGATTGAGCTGTGGATACGTGATCCCATATTCCCTGGTGTCACTATTACAGGGCAGAGACAAACTGCCTTATCATTAACTCTGTAAATGAAGAAGCCGTGTATGAGACCACTGAAGCAAGTTAAGAATAACATACACAATTTTTTTACTGCTTTTAAGTTTTCTCTTTCTGTTTTTGAGGTAGTAGTGGAATTTCAGGCCGTTCCTCCAGGATGTGCTGCTGGTTGCATCTGAGAACTAATGTATCTGCCTACCATGGGTTTATAAACTCTGTTTAAAAACCCCCAAATCCTAACACCATCATTTTTCAAGCTGTTAGACAGAGATAGGCATTGGTTTGGTTGCTTGTCTCCATACGAATGGCAAGATTTATGACTCTTCTGTTATCTAAAGGCTTGCAATGCATTCCTCAATTTGATTATTAATAAGGCTATCCTGAATACAAAGTAAAGCAGCAGTAAAGAAAAACCTGCTTGAGAGGGAACAACATGACACAGTATGCTATGACAGCTTCTGGATACCACTATCCCTTCATAATTGAATATATCTGAACTGGAAAGCCAATTCTTTTATTTTCCTTTCCATTTCATGAAAAAAATGCAATGTAATTAATGGCTTGTCCTCCAGTATTCAGTCAGTGGAATTGCATAACATAGTCTTTAAGAATACTCAAAGTATTTTTATTTTTTTAGTATTACTTACCCACTCAGTAACAAACAGGAACACAGTAGTAAATTTAAAGTTACTGACTAAGTTTCTATTTCTTATGCAGCAGTGGAAAAGCACCATTTAAAAAATTTTATTCTTGTCAAAGCTTGAACCCATTTATGTGTCTTTGCTGAGCATCCTGGAAACATCTAATGCATAGACTTGCAAGCAAACTTACAAGGTTTCTCCATCTGGAAAATGAGGATCTGTTTTTTTAATATATTCTGATATTCAGAATTCAGAAATGTGTCTGTCTGAGCTCCTGGTCTTAGCAGTTGTGTTCAATTTAAACTAAATAAATGTTCAATTAAACAGCGGTGTTTCCCCATGTGTTGTACCAGCTTGGCCAAAGCTGTATTCACTGCTGAGAAACCTGGCATTTTCAGTCACTTTGCATATTAGTCGGACACGGAGCACTTTTGAGAGCCAGTTGATTTGAGTCTCTTATTGTAAAGATTATGATGAACATACACCTGCCAGCATCCAAAATATTTTACTATATATTTTACTAAACTGAGATGAAAGCAACCTAGTGGATTTTTGACAACCTACAGCTTAGAAAATAGCTAGGAGTGTTCAAACATATGGTCTACTTTATATTCCTCTAGGGTTCTTATTTTTAATTTCAGTGTCTACCTGGTGCAAAATGTGGAAATATTCAGGAGCAGAAAATAAGTTTTCCTCCCTCCTAGCAAAATATAAGAATAAGTCAGTGAGTGAGGGAAGAAATCACTGAATGGTGTATGTAGGCACACATCATGGCCACTCTCAGGAGATGTCATCTTCATAAAATTGTCTTACTGTATGATGGACTGTCACTAACATTAGGAGTCACCTAGATAAGCAAGGTCAAAATAAAATTTCTCTCTCTCTCTTTCTTTTTTTTTTTTTATTTTTCCCATGCTGGGAGTAGTGCTGAATCTTTGTCAGAGAATTCCGTCTCAAGGATTTAGAAATCATCATAATGGAAAATGCAAGAGTAAAAAAGGAAGGTTGTACTGAGCTTCAGACACATGGAAATTAGAGAAGAAATCTGCCAATGTAAAAACTTCAGGAGAACCAAGAAACTACAATGACTATTTCTTTTAATGAATCCATTTAACTTAAGATATAATTAGGATTTCCTAATTGTTGTGTGATACTGGTTTATTTAAATATAATTGAATAACCTCCCTCCAGATGCCTTAGGAAAGCCTACAAAATATATCTTAATTTTCATTTTGTTTATGGAAATGTCTTTTTATTGTCTCTGAATATCTATACTTATAATTTATTTAATTTTTATATTTCTGCAGCAATATAAAAGTATTTTCTCCAAATCAAAATACTGTCTCCCTATATGTCACCATTTGAATTGCACTGCTTGGGTTCTTTAAGTCTTAGCAGCACAAAAGCTTGTCCATTAGAATATTTCCCTGAACGGAGAACTCCATTAACTTCAAAAGCAGTAGGTTGCCTTTCATGTTCATATTCCATTATTGTGGGAATAAACATGGTCATTTTTTTGAGTTTTAAAGTGTACTAGGCTTATATATTTACTGAACACTAAGTTTCTTTGGCTTGAGCTCAGACAGTTTTGTTAATATTGGTTACTGATTGTATACATTATGTATACACTATATATATGTATATATACATATGTATGTATGTGTATGTGTATATAAATATATATTCTATGCTCAATCAGTTTGGATTTCCCTAGATATTGAATTTTTTCTTAAGAATCTGCCTTTCCCATCATTGCCTCTTTTCCAGTTTGAAATGACTAATGCTTAAATAATTTTTAGTCACATCTTAGTGGCAAGGGCTTGTGCTTTTAAAGTAATATTATATGAGCATCTGCTCCTATGGCTCTTGCCAGAAATTAAAAGGCTGATATGCAGGAAAAAAAGGTTAACATCTCAGTTTTGGAGTGAGAAATATGTTGCAAGAGGAAGATTTGCAAAACCAAACAGCCTTTTATATTTAATACTATCAGTATTAAATGTAAATACACATCTTTTTGCTTTACCAACAGTTTATCTGCTTGGTTACTCACAAGACTGTTTACAAACTGACAGCAGTTTTTCAAGTTCAGTTTGATCCAGTCACTGGATATTCAGATTCTGAGAGCTTCTTGATGAGAAAGTAGCAGTGTTGACTAGAATTTTTTTAGACAGTACAAGTCTGGGTAGCAACACTGCTTTGGAAATTAATAAATACAAGCAAGGAGAGAGTGAATGAGTAACATTTCTTTCAGAGGCACAATACCTGGCTTGTAATTAGTGATCCTGTGATGATGGCCATTGTCTGTCCATAAGAATTGACAGGTCTCTGTTAAAATGAGGGCTGAAGGGACCATAAAGATACAGATCATTTTTCGGAGGCATTCCATGTTTCCACAGTAAGGACACATTTTCAAATTACTTTTATTGTCATAGTATTCTTGCCTTTTCCAGATCCAAGAATAAATTCTATTATCCCAAAGTATGTATAACTTTACATTCTATGGACGATGATATCTCATTAATGAGAAAAGCTGATGCACAGCATTTTCTCACAAACATATTTGCTTCATTTAAGATAAAGGTTGGCTCAAAAGTGTTCTAGAAATTGTTTATTATTTGGGGTATGTCCTATTCTGATAGCAGGCCTTGTTTGGGGACGTTTTCTTTGCAGGATAGAGGTTATGCAGGGTGTAGTTTCTTGGATTCCTGTATTTACTGAGAATGAAGTTAACAGCTACATGCAGTTCAGGTCAAAAGAGCAAAATCTGAACTTTTTGCTCAACATATTTATCAGTTCAGGCAAACAGTCATTCTAAAATATCTCTCCATTTTAATTTCTGGAGACAATTTGGGGCATCCCAGTTCTATGCTCCTTTGTGTGTTGTGAACTCTCAGTGAGCTGTCAAGTTCACTGTTAATGTATTGTAAGTAGAAAGCAAGAATCCGTAAGTCTCCCTTCCACTGCCACACACACACAGGTCATGGAAGATGTGGAAGGGACAATGTATTAATTTCAAGTTTAACTATATAAAATAGTTACAATAGTAATATAGCGATGTAATAATTAAATATACTTCATCCCTCTCCTATTTTGCTTCTAAATTGTGTGGTTAATATATAATGCTGCACTTTTTAAATTTACAATACTAAAATGAATATTGGATAAAAAAAGGCAACAGATTTTCCTTAAGGTAAGTTCTAATTGTTGCTGGTTTATTTAGTGCTCGACTCACAGCTCATCAAAATAATGAGTTGCACTGTATCAGATGTATGGAATTAAATACTTTGGGCTGATGAATCTTTTCCAAAAGGTTTATTAAAGATGTTATTTTATCCCCTTTTTGCTTACTAGTGGTTTTTTGTTTTCTTTTTTTCTTTTTTCCTCTACCAGGAGGCATTTTTGAGTGTGTGGAATCTGGTCCAATGGGAGCAGAAGAATTAGCCTTCAGATTTGCTGTGAACACAATCAACAGAAACAGAACTCTTCTGCCAAACACCACATTAACATATGACACACAAAAGATAAATCTCTATGACAGTTTTGAAGCATCCAAAAAAGGTAACCTTTTGCATATTTAGTTTTTTTAATGAAGAATTAAGCCTCACTTAGTTTACTTACCTGAAAAACTCTATCTGATGAAACCATATGCAATGAGACTGACATTATTGTCACTGACATTAAAGAGCTGCTTTATTAAAGATTGTAATGATAACTGCTTGACAATTACATTGCCACCTTTGCTCCCACTAATCCTATCTAAAAGCTATTCCCTTAAATATTTAAAATCTGAAATAAATTTTGCTGAACATTGTGACTAGGGTGTTTCTTATACCAGCTCCTGTGGAGGGAGAAATCTCACTGTCTTCAAAATTTATCCAGCAAAATGCCAAGTTCCGCCAAATTCTACTGAAACTGGGATTCAATTTTAATCATTCAATCACTTCAAGTACATTTTCACAAATGCCTTTAGATAGTTAATCATAGACTTCAAAAGGGAAGTAGTAGTTTTAGTTTTGTGCATCTTATACCAGCATGGCATAAAAATAAGCATAAATATTGACTGTGCTTAGGACTATCACTATCAGATAGATGTGTCAGCCTGGGTTAAGCTCTTTACTCCTAACCATAAATGATATGTTTACAGAAGAATTAAGAGTAAAAATTAAGTTTGAACATTTTCCCTAAATTTTAAAATCTTTAATTCTCAAAAAAAAAAACAAACAAAAAAAAAAAAAAAAACCACATTTTCAGATTACTTTACATTTAAGTCAGGGACAACAGGCAACAAGTTTCTGCCTCATTGTTGTATCCTCGAAACCACAAACACCAAAAAGTTCAATAAGTATTTATGGAAGAAAGTACAAAGCCTCATGTCAAAACTCACTAAAACTCATTGAATTTAGCACTGTATTACATGCTCTTTAAAACCACTTTTTTATAAATTGAAGAACTAATTTTGTATGAATGCTGTATATAACAAGACAATAAGAAGGGTGAAAGAACTGGAGGTCAGCCTACATTTCTTATGGCAGGTTTCTAGCCTAAGTCTGCCAAGTGATCTGGGCCCAACATGTCTCTCCCAAGCATTAAAGACAAAAAGCTTTATACAATAAGGGAATTTTTGGTGTTATGGTTGGCTAAGAAGAGTGAAAACACTTGGCACAATATTAGAAATTATAAGGGAAATCTCCTGTGGCATGATTAATGTACATGAAGGACATCTTAAAAGTGGAATTTAATACCAATTAAATATTCAGGTTAGAACTGAGGGGAAATTTTTACTGCTTTTACTATAATAGATTAACAGAGAATCTTGCTAACCTGTTTACCTGTTTATCTGACAAAATATTCAGGTTAGAACGGAGGGGAAATTTTTACTGATTAACAGAGAATCTTGCTAACCTGTTTACCTGTTTATCTGACAAATAAATAATTCAAATATAGATTCTTGTTAGGCATGAAAAAGCGTATCCTTATTTGCGCAGAAATACAGTTTGGTCATTGCAAGATTATTAAGAAAAATTGTCAGGAAAATTGATCATTTTTCATGTACAAAAAATTATAGGCTAAATATTTATGCCTAGCAAGATGGCTTCTTTGCAGAGTAGCATGTATGGTAGAAGAAAGAGGAAAAAAATGCACTTTTAATAGAGTATCATTGAGTTGTTCTAGTGTTTTGGATGATGGATTAAAACAGGTCTTGAGAGAGACTACTCTTTCCTTTCCATCTCAGCCAACAGTGAATAAAAGTGCTGAAACTTAATTCTGTTTCTTTCATTCTCCTTTCCTTCTCACCTTCGAAATTCAGCTGCTTCCTGACTTCTGCACTTGCTGACCTGCGAAATCTAACAGGACATTTTCTCCCTGTTCCTGAGGGATGATGCAGACAGCAGAGAAATTTCTCCTGAGATCTCTAATTCTTTAATTCTTTCCTGAGAAAATGCAACCACTTTTAGTCCTTACCTGGGGTCTGCTAGCCTGAATATTATGTTGCTAATTCTTGTTAGACCATAATAGATGAAATTAGAATGACAATGTGCTATTGATTAGACATATTGAATAGAATGCATATATTCCTTTTTTCCCACTTGCCTCTTGGATGAGAATGCAACACTTTATTTGTAACTGCTCAGGCTATATCAAAATCTGTGTAATCTTTTAGTATTAATAGCTTTTTGCATCATCAATTCACAATACAGACAACTGCATTTGTGCTCACAGGTGCTTTAGTTCAGAATCAGAGGCTAAAGGTTAACACAAAATGGTTCATCTTATTATGATGGATCCAAAGCAGAATTTTAACAATGAAGTTTAAGCATTTGACTCATTTTTGTGGTTCATTATCATGTCCATTAGTGAGCATCCAGGCACTGCATCAAAAATAGCCTGTTTAGACCTCTTATTAACACATACTTTTGAAGTCGAATATAGATGAAATATTAGTGGCTTTTTAAAGGTACTATATGAATAAGCAACCTGAAGTCAAGAAGATATTTTCAAGCCACTGAAGAATAATGTAAATGCAACAAAATATCCCTCAACGTTCTAGGAAAATTGGTATGCATCTGATAGAGCCAGTGCCATATTAAATCACGTGCGAAAGCATTGCATTATTCACATCTCAGAAAGAGGAAAAAAAAAAAAAGTCCATTGAAAAGCCATCTGGTAGCTATTGCTGTTGTTAGTGATCCCATTTACTGACATTTGCATAAAGCTTGTTGATTACTCTTAGGAAGGGCAATATTAGCATAAATGTTTTTTTATTGAGCTAGTCATTTAGGCAACACACCGAATAGCAATGAAGGTCCTGTGTGTCTGACAAGTTTATTTAAACCACTGGTGTTCTGCAGCAATAAAAAGGTGTGCCAGCATAGTTTCTGGAATGCACTTGAAAGACTTAGCAATATTTTTATCAAGTTGAAAAGAATGTGCAAAACTATTAATTTTGAATTGTTGAGAAAAGCAATGCAGCAAGATGTGTTTCTACTGCTTGTTTCCTCAGCTGTCAGGAACACTGATGGTGGAGTAACAGAATTAATCAAATCCCATGTAAATACTCATGTCTAGTTTGGTTTTCATTACTTCTCTCTACCAAATGAGTTGTTTTCCTAGAAAACATAGTCCTTTTTTTCAGAGCTGCATACTCATAAAAATTATGCCTGTGGTAGTGAATGAGATAGGAGCAGGGCATTGGCCAAAATTCAGTACTGATTATTTTTTCTTGCCTTCTATTTGGAATGTCCTAACAAATATTCAACAAGATGACACTGGAGTATGCTGTGGGAGATGATACAGATCAGAGACTGCTAATGAACAGTACAGGTAGGGCCACCCTGTATCAGAAAACAGGAAGCTGAGCCACTTGAATACAGCAGTATCATGTCAGTGACTCCCAGGGCCAGTTTTATTTATTCATACAAGTATAGCAAAACTAAGCATTTCCAGTTTTTAAGAAGGGACACAATTTTTTTTCACTAACAGAGAGCAATTTAATTTTAAGGAAAATATTGGTTTTTAAATTGTACTAGCCAACATGCCTATTTCAGATACAGAAATTCAAATGTCCATTTAAATGAAATTAACTCTCTGCCTGAAAATTAACTGTGAGGTACTTCACATGTAAAATTTCTAATTAGGACTTCAGTAGAAATAGTGGTGACTGATTGAGGAAGAAGTTATCATTTAAACAACCCAGATTAGGATACTGTCCTATTTGACCCTTTTCCAAATGTAAGATGCAGCTAAGCACAAACCTATTTTATTTGTCATCACTTTTAAAAAGACACACAATTGCTGGCCTTTGTCACTTCCACTGACATAGGAATGTTTAATAAACATAGCTGAGCACTATTTAGATGTTAAGAGTCAATATTCATCAGTTTGTAATGAAAGCTTGGAAGCATATTCTGAAGTTGAAATGCATAAGTGAAAGTGTTACACAAGAATGGAGCTCTGTCAGTAAGACAGTCATATTTCATGGAGTGCCTTTTATTTAATATGAATTGTGCAATACCTTCTGGCACACTGCCTTTTTTCCTCTCATCATTGACAGACTTCTGTCTCCTCTTCAGCCTGCGATCAGCTGTCCCTTGGGGTGGCAGCCATCTTTGGACCATCCCACAGCTCCTCAGCTAATGCCGTGCAATCCATCTGCAACGCCTTGGGAGTTCCACACATCCAGACCCGCTGGAAGCATCAGGTGTCAGACAACAAGGACTCCTTCTATGTCAGCCTCTATCCGGATTTCTCTTCACTCAGCCGTGCCATCCTTGACCTTGTGCAGTTCTTCAAGTGGAAAACAGTTACTGTTGTTTACGATGACAGCACTGGTAAGGCCAAAGCATCAGGCTATGTGCAGAACTATTCACATACACAAAGAGAGGGAGGAAGGGTGTCACTACTCATATCTCATAATTTAAGAAATCTTCAATAGTTTGCATAAATTTGACTGGTAAGGCAGTGTATAACAAATAATGTGGACTTATTAGCATAAGTATTCTCATAAGTATGCTTCAGTTGCTGAATTCTGCGTGTTTGAGCTCACAGCTGTCAATAAATTGGTCACACTCTGTCTGTGTTTTCTGCAGTGTCTTAACAGTTGCTAACAGCTATGTCTTTTGATTTTACTTAAAACTTAAACTTGGAAGAAAAATATGGTAACTTGAAAAATACACTAGTGTGTTCAGTGAAGTAGAAAGCTTAAATTCTGGTGCTGTTTCTGGTGTTGGTTGAGTTTGAAAACATGCCAAATTTGTTTGAAATTTTAGTATCTGTTTCTTCAGATAGAAGTGAAGAAGGAGCCTGGTTTCAGCTCCTAGCAATTGGACCAAAAGGAAGTTTGGAGGCTTGTTTTACAGATGACTTACAAGAGTTAATTTTTAACTCATGACTTTCCAGCAGAAATATACTGGGTTATCACCTTTCCCTCAGTTACCCTAAAATTTGTTTTGCCTTTCAGTTTCACCTTGACAGTGGTATCTTTGAAAAATTGTGTAAGACTTACATTTCATTTGAGGTCTAGTGGTGGTTAGAAACAAGACCTTGGTTAGGAAGAAAATATCACTGCAATGGAAGATACAAAGAAGGTGCTTGGCCAAAGAAGACGTATTAAATATTATGGGAAATGTTGGTAACTTTTTCCATGCTGGTTGATCCATCATTGTCAGGAAAAGAACATAGGGAGCCTCAAATTCTTCTTGTGGTTCATTGAACTGGAAGGCTGTTGATGTGCTCATTACATGATGCTACTCTCTATCCAAACTTGAAATAAAAAAAATAAGATCAGGAAACAAAGTGAGGCTATCTGTAGGGAAGACTAACTGCTCTAGATAAACAGCAGTTACTACATCAGGACAGAACACCTACTTGCTGTTCAAGCTCAAATAAGATGCATGTGTAGCTACCAAAAGGTGAGGAGGGAGCAGAGAATATGGTGCATATAAGGCTTTATAACTGATATTTTTCTACATGCCTTTTAAAAAATTATAAGGCAGTGACATTTAGAGGTTGCCTCACTACAAGTTTGTTAGCTGGTGTTACCAAAAGCTTCAAGTAATCAAATTTTTGATTTAAGCTTTAAAATCAAGCCATAGCTTTACAGACCTAAGGGAAGCAATATGTAGCTTGGTTTTTTTTTTTTTCCCTCTCTTTTATTTTCTAAATTTTTATCTATTATTTTTCTGAAATAGGAGAGGAAGCTAAATCCTCAAATTTTAACCAAATGATGATAGAAAGAAGTGAGTTGTGGTGATTAAGGTTTGCGTAAATTGGAGATATTTCACCTTGATTAAAATCATTTGGAGTCTAACTATTTTTTCAAGAGCAGGTTACCTCTTAAAAAAGTAAATTCAGTTAGAAAATTTGTATGTTTTAATACTTTGAAACTGCTTTGCTCAATAATTTCAAGTAATTTTCTTCTGTCAAAAAAAAAGTAAACCAAAAGACTAATTCATGTTTAATATCCAGAGATATGTTGTTGACAGCCTTGATAGACCAGATCTCAATAAATCATGTTTTGAAGCCAGGACATGAATAAAAATGGGAAAGAAAATTAAAAAGAAGGTTTTCTTGTATATATTGTGATCTACTTGTTCTACTTGGTATTACTGTTAATATTTGAGAGACAAAAAACCCCAAACATAACCTCTTTTAGAAAAGTTTTTTAAAAAATTTCATAATGAATTAGTAGATTGAATTATTTAATCTATTCGAAAAGCATAAAGAATTGTTCCAGGATATAATCTCTTTAAAATGATATTTCTTTCTGGAGTGGCCAGGCCCTTTATATTATAATACTGCTTGTTCCCGTAATCTCATCTACAATATTTTTTGTTTTTCCCTTGAAATCTATTTCTGTCTGAAGAGGCAGAAAAAACCCAGTCTATTTTAAAAAAGGTTATCCTCTCTCTTTTTTGTGGTGTGTTCTGTAAAGTGAACTTAAATTCTACTTTTTAGACTGTCAACTTCTCTTTAACAGTAGCATCTCCTATGGATAATTCCAGGACTTTTAAAAGCAAATGACACTGCTGGGAAGTGCACAGCATCACTTCCCTTTGAATACATACAGGGACATCTCTTAGCTATGAGAAACTGTTAGTCTTAAAGAAGCAGATATTATATCTGCTGGAGTTCAAGTGCAAGCTGGTGGTTTTTGAGGCAGGGGGAGAGGAACCTTTTGGAAGCATGTAGTTGCTTGACCTTGGGAAGTGGTTCTCTCCTGTCGTAGGATAAGACAAATATTCAGGTGTGAGTTTAGGACTGGAGCTGAATATGAAGTTTCAATTAAGATTTAGAAATTGTGTTGTATGACGTGCCATTAAGACCTATTTTCAAATCATTAAAATTATGAAGGCAATGAATAAAAAATATTTATCACTGTTTATATCTGGTTTGTCCATTTGATCAGTGATTCCTTAATGTAAGATGGATATAATTCTTAATTACTTTTTTCTTTGTTTCTCTTTTAATCACTCACATTTTTGCTCCTTTATTGAATGGTTGTTGAGGCTGATGATGTATGCCTTTTTTATCGATGATTTTAGAGCTATGGATTTCCTTTATCTCAATGGACAATTCCCCAAAGGGCATGCTGGTCAAGACAATAATATGTTGGTATAGCAGCAACAGTGATAATTTAATTGCTAAAATGAATATTTTTTGGGAGATTCATATTTGCTTTATGTATTTTTATTGTTATTGTGAATATGGATATAAAGGGAGCTGACACTTTTATTATAGAGAGGAAGAAAAGGTATAAAGCATGCATGAACTAGGTCTGGATAATTCTCCAATAAATTATCAGGACTTTCCCGTATGTCAAGGTCCTGCAAGATGGTAGGTTGACTCTGAGGGAAAGCTTGATTTCATGTGTCCATTTAACTATTTACATTTCTAAAAATGTGTTTATTTCCTTAAATGTTAGGGCTCAGTTTTATGAATTTTCTAAGGAATTGCTAATGTTTTGTAATAATAAAGGAGAGATAGTTACCTGCTTCACAGCTAAAAAAAAAAAAATAAAAAAAAAAATGTGTCCATGTTCTTCATCTTCTCAACATGGGATATATCTTCTAGGGTAAAAACACATTGTAAAAGCTGTGTGGTTATTTGACACTCTGCAGCCAGTAAAAGGCCATGTTAACTCTAGTGTCAGTCCCAGAGGTATGCTAGAGACCAATACTCCAAGTGCACAGTCTAGCTGCCCCTGGACAGCACCATCGTGTCCAACTATATTAAAACCCCCAAGTTTCTACCTTGTATGAAGGAAAGCCATTTATGTGACTGATCCATGTAAGTGAAGTCTTCCTTACTGGTTTTTTGTGCCTTTCAATCCACAGAGTAGCTGCCTTCAAAAATTAATATGAAGTGTCCCTGACTCTGAGAACAGGATTGTAACTAGATGATGTTTAAGGTTCCTTCCAACCCAAACTATTTTATGATTCTCTGAGATGTATGAAATAGATATTTGTGTTTGGTCTGGATCTAATTTGATTTGATATTGGGTGGTATGAAGGTGGTAAAGGGGAAGTCAGTGCTTGTTAAGAGCCCAGTTTGAAATAAGAGAGAAAATTTGGAATCCCAGTCTCCATTTGTAATAATCTTAGAGATTACAATAAGAACAGACATTAGTTTGTTGTCTCCCTCTTTGAAGCATTCTCCCTATATTCTCAGAGAAGGAATAGCTGTACACCTCACTCCTAATTTGAGAAAAGCATAAGTTGTTTTTAATGCACTGTGGGTAGCAACTAGACCCTGGCCCGTGCTTTATGATGCAGAAGTGGCTAAGTCAGAGAAGATGAATGTCTGAAGTCCAGACTGAGCCTCAGAATACTGGTGTGTTCTGTGCTGATCAGACCTGCCTCGTGTTCAGGAGGCTGTAATGAGGAATACAAGATAGCTTGCCATAGGAGAAAATAGAGGTTGTGCCATGCTGAAATAGGTACAGGGAAGTTTCTAGAGGGACATGATCAATAACAGTGGAGTGAGCAAAGATCAGGTTGGGTACAGTGTAATAAGGAAGACTCAAGACTGTACAAATAAGATGAAGTAGATGAATAAACTGGAAAGGTTAATTCTACCTTGACTCGGTAAAAAGAGATGCAGGTTTTACTGTGGGGATATGGTAATAGAAATAAAAATGAACATAGAATGGACAAAGGTTTTAATATTATATTAAAGCTTCTGCCCTTGTAGTATTTTATAGAGTATGTATTGTGGCACTAAGTAGATGAGTTTTTTCTTTCAGGAAATTAGAAATGTGTGAGTCCTTTTTTTGTGGATCTCTGTTTTAAGAGTCCTGCACTTACTTTTATTATTTTAATTATTTTTTCATTAAAAAATGGCTACTTTCTGCTTCTTTCTCTGATTTAATTTCCTTTTTTTTCTATCTCTCAAGACTTTTTTTTAATATAGCCCACCTTTGTATGGGTAAAAAAAAATGGAATAGGGCTCTAAAACATTTCTCTTGCTAAAAAAGATAAATATTGCTTCCTTTGATAATTTTAAATGGGAAAGCATATTCCTTGTAACTGGGATTTCATATTAAAAAACAAATACAGAAACAGGAAAAAAAAAATACAGAAACAGGAAAAGCCCCAGCAATCCCCCCAACCCCCCAAAAAAACCCAAAGAAAACAACCATACACCAAAACTAAAAAAAAAAACCTCCTAGCAGGATGTAATGAGAGGCCCGTTACTTTTTTTCTCCCTTAAAGTAATTTAAGGCCTCTGTTAATTAAATTCCACTAAACTGTCCCTGGACACTAATTAAGTCCTTTCAGATTTACAGATTCGCTACAGTCAATTGTCTTTAAGAAAGAAAAGTGGAAAAATG